AAGGCAACGTGAGACCCATGTAAAATCCATTTACACAGAATTCAGGCAAGGTGAGAGATTCAATGATACAAAATCTAGAAAGGTCAAATCAATTCCAAAATGGTCACTTAAGATGAGGCCATATATGGGGCCAGCAGATAGCATAATGGTTACATTGCTGGACTCCCACGTAGTTGACTGGAGTTTGAGTCCCAGACCCAGTGGCTAAAACTCAGGCTGGGCGCATGTGTGTGCATGCCCAAAATCCTGAGAAGAGAATGGAGGAGAAGAGATTGCAGCATGGCCATCCCCCACCAGGGGGAAGGGGTGATTACTCACTTTCTGTCTCTCTGGGGAGTGCACACGCCCTATAGCAAAAAATCTCTCTAAAAAAGAAAAAAAGATTAGGCCATGTATGATAGTGCAGATGACAACGCAGGACAAATTATATAGTGACTCCTAATTAATAACATGGTAAGTGCTAGTTTGCTTTGCGTCCCACTTCACCAGGAAAAATAACATCCTTTGCATGCAGAGATGTGCTGGCAGTTCACTGTCTGTATGTGGCAGTCTTTGCTGCTCTTCTAGAAAAAGTCAGATACAGATCCATCCTTTTTGTTCTCCTTGTACTTCTCACAGTCCATGGATGACTTGAGGGACAAGGGAATAGATTCTGTGCCACACTGGTGGACTTCTCACTTTGATACCATCGGCACTCAGCTCTGCTCGGCCGCTCTGTCAGACACCAAGATTTGGAAGCTGGTACTTCTACAGCAGTGCTTACCAATCTCAATTAAATGGTTACACACAAGGTGATTTAAAAAAAAAAAAAAACAAACTACACAAGGTGATTTAAAAAAAAAAAACAAACAAAAACACAACTTGCTGATTCATAAATTATGCAGTATTGGGGACTAGCACGTGGCATGGTGGTTAAGGCTGCTGGACACTCTCACATGAACGACTGTGGTTCCAGTCCCGTTTCTGGTGGCTTGCTTTCCCACTTTCCCTCTGCTCGCTCGCTCTCTGTCTGTCTGTCTCTCTCTGATCAAGTTAAAATAAATGAATGAATAAATAAAATTGAATAAGTAGTTCTTTAAAATAATATGTAAAAGTTTTCAGGAACTGAAATAAGATGGCTCTTTTCCTTAGAGGGAATTCTTTCAGTCTGCTTAATGTTCATTGAAAATAGTTTTGATGCCAAAAAGACCACTCAGCTGAAGATTAAGAGGTGAATTACAGAGCAAAATTAGGGAAGCAGACAGATCTGATAGCTGAGCCAAGAAGGGTTGGTTGTACACTGAACTTGGGAGACACCTGCTGTCTCACCTGACTGAGGTGAGTCACCTGCAATGAACAGGGTTCTGAAACCGGAAGAAGCTCACTCTGTTCTGGCTCTCATAGGGAGTGAATGTGTTGCAGATGTGCCTCCAGGAAACATGAGCCTACTGTTGAGTTCACCTGCTCCCTGCTGA